AATTCTGGGAGTTGAAGTCCACATGTCTTAAAGCGGCCAAGGTTGAGGAACACTGCGTTAGAGCCATGGGCTCACCACAACAGATTCACAGCCACCAAGAGAAGGGGACTATGGCTTAGCTGACTGAGGTCAGAACCCATAGCAGACCCCAACCTACGTACTGAAGCAAAACACTGCAGTAAGAGCTGAAGAGAAAGGCGTCGCTGGGGGAGATGCAGAACAGAGGAGCTGGGCTGAGGTTTTAGGCATGATGGGTGAGTCCAATTCTCAGAAGTTGCCTCCAGCATTCTGACTAGTCTTGCAAAAGAGTTTAGCTCTGGCCTGGAGGAGGAGGAGGAGGAGGAGGAGGAGGAGGAGGAGGAATGATTGCTGAGCCCAGGGAAAGTTGAAAGCGTGAGAAGGAGGCTCAGAACAGCCCCGCCTTGACTGGGTGGTCCTTCAGAAGGGGGCAAGGAAAGTTTGGGATAGTCGTCCAAGATTCTGTGCGTAGACACCACAACAAAGACCGTAGCATTTCTGGCATCCCCGCCAGGCCTGTTTCCTGACCTAGCCTACCTTGAAGGACTGTCAAATCTCCAGGGTGAGTTTTTCCCCAGGGGTCAGCGGGTGCTCCTTAGCACTTCTGCAGCGCACGATGGAGCTATTACAACACATCTGCATTCCTCTGCTTGCTGATCGCCGGGGCAATGGTGGGATACTCTTTGGAGCAGAAACAGTCAGAGTTCCTTCAAGCTCCATGCTGGGATCTGTGTGGTTGGGAAAGGAGGACCTCGAGGCTTGGTCTGGCATTTTCAGGCACTTCAAAAATAGGCCTTGCTCATGGATAGAGCACGTTTGCTCCAAAGCTGGGAGAAGATTCGGAATTACAGAACTACAGATAGTCCTCGTTTAATGACCATTTGTTTAGCGACCGTTTGATGTTATGACAGCACTGAAAAAAGCCACTTATGACTAGTCCTCGCACTTACGACTGTCACAGCATTCCCACGGTTATGCAATCGCAATCCAGGTGCTTGGCAACCAGCTCGCACTTATGACAGTTGCAGCATCCCAGGGTCATGTGATTGCCATTGGTGACCTTCCCAGGGGGCTTCTGGCAAGCACAATCAATGGGGAATCATGTGATTCACTTAACAACCGCTGCAAAAAAGTCTTAAAATGGGTGCAGTTATGTGATGCCTCGCTTAACGACCACCCCACTTAACAACAAATTTTGGTTGTTAAGCAAGGTGGTTAAGTGAGGGAATTCTGGGAGTTGAAATCCACCCATCTTCAAGTTCCCATTGTTGAGAAACGCTGCTATAGACTAACATGGCCCTCCTTCTATAATATCCATAAGTTAGGTAATGTTTTAATTGTTTTTAACTATTTTAAATTGTCTTTGCTTTGCTGTTTTGATTCTAAAGGCTTTATTTAGAAGTGGCTTTTACTGGCTAGAAAGACCAGCTACACGTAGCATACACACGAAACGGAGAAATGTGTTTACTGAAATACACCGAGCCAATGAGCTTCGGCACCAACAAATTCGTATCAGCATGACAAAGCCCCCGTTCCCCCATCAATATTGCAAAGTGCCAAAGGAAAGTGCAAAACGGGGTACAAATCTAAACAGAAAAGAGGCGACAAAGGAAGGATTTAAGATCTGGGATCATGGTGGTAAGCAACAGGGCTGACCACCCAAACAGCATAAGTGGCAGAAGAGCCTTTGTGAATGAATCCAGCCGTGCACCCATCTGCTGAGCCAAAGAATTCGAAATTCCTTAGAAGGCCATCAACAGCCTTAAAGTTTTCCTCATCTGCCCAAGGCTGTCCTGCCAGAAAGATGCCAAAATTAACTCTCCTGCCAGCTCACCTCGAACACGTCCCCCAGAGAAAGCTCTTTTGGCTCACACAGCGTGGGTCTTCGTACAATCCATTAAGCCAAATCTGGAGCTATCCGTGAATAATACAAATATTATTCCTTGGTTTGACTCCAGACAAAATGGGCAAACTGTGACCAGCTAGATTTGTAGATGATTCTCCATTTGGCAAACATCGCAGCCATCCAGCTGGCAATTCCCACAAGACCACATCATCTGGGCTACTAATGCCAAATTTTAACCGCAGTTGTTTGGCAGCTCAAGGAGGGCAACAACGAAGGTTGAGTGGGGACCTGATGGCTGTCTTCAAGTACCTGAAGGGCTGTCACACTGTAGAGGGTTTGGACTTTAAGACCAGAACTTATGGGATGAAATTTCGAGGATGTAGATACAGAGGAGACATTAGGAAGAACTTTCAGATAGGAAGATCAGTCAGTCAGCAGAATGGGTTACTGTGGGGAGAGGTTTCTTCTCCTTTACTGGAAATTTTCAAAGAGAGGTTGAATAATTCTCTTCCTTCCATTTTGTGTAAATGTGTTTTTCTTTTTTATAAATTTTAATTATGTATTTATTGTTTTAATTTGTTGTAAACCGCCCAGAGTCCCCCATTGGGGGGAGATGGGTGGGGATACGTTTGCCAGATAGATAGATAGATAGATAGATAGATAGATAGATAGATAGATAGATAGATAGATTATTTATTTATTTATTTGGCAAACGTATCCCC